TAGAAGTTGGCGTAACAAGATGAAGACTCATTACTCGAAGTTGGTAGACGCTGGTGTTGACCCTTATAGTAAACCATACAAAGGGGTCGATTCTGAGGCTTGGGTATACATGATCGATCATGTATGGCTTAATGGCGATTATCAGGTAAAATTTCCTAATTTGAAGAATCATGTTGTAATTTCAATTTAATTTTACTAATCAATTAATTTTGCAGAACTTGGCTAAAAAAGCAAGGGATAGTCGAGCAAGATTACCATATAATCATACAATGGGCTCCAAGTCATTTCAAGATGCAATGTATAAACATGTGATGCATTTATTATATATAACATAATGATTGAAATTAATTATGTGTGCTTACTTTTAAATGGAATTAGGGTACCGAGAAGACTGATTTCGTAGACTTCTACAAAGATTCCCATTGGAGTAAGAGAAAGTCGGATTGGGTAGCCCCAATATGTAGTCAATTACATGTAAGTATGCCAATTAATAGAGTTACATATTTATGTAAATGATGGTATTTGTTGAAGTTGTTTACAAATTGATAGGAAGCTTTGAAAAAGCGACATGAAGAGTCTTTAGAGCCTGGGGCAATACCTTTAACTCAGGAGCAGCTGTCAATCGAGATTCTTGGAAAGAAATTGGGATACTTAAAAGGCTTTGGAGTTGGTCCAAAACCATCATCATCCAGATCTTCTATTACTATACAAGCACATACTGAGGTGGTTTCGAGCCTACAAAAAGAACTAGAGTCATTGAAGAATTTGTCCGAGATCCAGCAAGAACAAATTACAGCCCAGAACCTAGTAGCACAAGAGCAAGCTAAAATGATTGAAATGCAAAACAAAAGATTTGAAGAGATTGAGAAGTTTATGAGGATGACCAAGGATCAGGCAGGCATGTAAGTTGATGAAAATAATTATTCATCACAGGAATCTTATTGACAAACACTTTTGTAAGTATATTTTTCATAATTTACTTTTCAAATCACTACAAGCATTTCATTTAATATGTCTGGTTGTGTTGAACAAACAAGACCTCGATTGGATCTCCGGTTAGAAAATTAGAAGAAAAATTGTAAAACATAAGACTTAAAAAATCCGTTAGGGGGCTGAAATTGCAAAATGACCACCGAAACCACCGAAACTTGGCACAGATAGCTTGTTCAAGCCTAAATAGACTTGTAGGAAAAAACAGGACCTCGATTGGATTTTCGGTTAGAAAATTATAAGGAAAATTGTAAAACACAAGACTTAAAAGGCCCGTTCGGGGGTCGAAATTGCGAAATGACCACCGAAACCACCGAAACTTGTCATGGACAGCTTGTTCAAGCTTGCATAGACTTGAAGGAACAAACGGGACCTCGATTGGATCTCCGGTTAGAAAATTAGAAGGAAAATTGTAAAATACAAGACTTAAAAGGCCTGTTCGGGGGCCGAAATTGCAAAATGACCACCGAAACCACCGAAACCACCGAAACTTGGCACGGACAGCTTGTTCGCCTAAATAGACTTGTAGGAACAAACGGGACCTCGATTGGATCTCCGGTTAGAAAATTAGAAGGACAATTGTAAAACACAAGACTTAAAAGGCCCGTTCGGGGGCTGAAATTACGAAATGACCACTGGAACCACCAAAACTTGGCATGGACATATTTTTAAGCCTAAATAGACTTGTAGGAACAAACGGGAGCTCGATTGGATTTCCGGTTAAAAAATTAAAAGGAAAAATGTAAAACACAAGACTTAAAAGGCCCGTTCGGGGGCCGAAATTTCGAAATGACCACTGAAACCACCGAAACCACCGAAACTTGGCACAGACAGCTTGTTTAAGCCTAAATAGACTTGTAGGAACAAACGGGACCTCGATTGGATCTCCGGTTAGAAAATTAGAAGGAAAATTGTAAAACACAAGACTTAAAAGGCCCGTTCGGGGGCCGAAATTACGAAATGACCACCGGAACCACCAAAACTTGGCAGGGACGAATTTTTAAGCCTAAATAGACTTGTAGGAACAAACGGGACCTCGATTGGATTTCCGGTTAAAAAATTAAAAGGAAAAATGTACAACACAAGACTTAAAAGGCCCGTTCGGGGGCTGAAATTTCGAAATGACCACTGAAACCACCGAAACTTGGCACGGACAGCTTGTTCAAGCCTAAATAGACTGGTAGGAACAAACGGGACCTCAATTGGATCTCCGGTTAAAATTAGAAGAAAAATTGTAAAACACAAGACTTAAAAGGCCCGTTCGGGGGCTGAAATTGCGAAATGACCACCGAAACTTGACACGGACAGCTTGTTCAAGCCTAAATAGACTTGTAGGAACAAACGAGATCTCGATTAGATTTTCGATTAGAAAATTACAAGAAAAAATGTAAAATACAAGACTTAAAAAGCCTGTTCGGGGGCCGAAATTGCAAAATGATCACTGAAACCACCGAAACTTTGCACATGCAGCTTGTTCAACCCTAGATAGGCTTGTATGAGCAAACTTGTATGAGCAAACAGCACCCGATTAGACTTCCCGTTACAAAATTAAAATCAAAATTGTGAAGTTCATATCGAGGTTTTTTTTTTTTTTTTTTTTGGTCAATCTAATATTGTTTTTTGTTTTTTCATGTGACAGATTAGCAATGGTGGAAAATATTTTGGGCTGCATTAGAAGATTTGATTTTGTGTTTTTGGAAATATTTTGACATAGGATTTTGGTAAATGATTTATGGATTAAATGTTTAGCATCAAAATATTTAGTGTTGTATTTTTGCAAATATTTTGATATAAGATTTTAGTAAATGACTTGTTGGTTAAATGTTTAACATCAAAATATTTGGTTGTAATTTTGAAAATATTTTGACATAGCATTTGGTAATGTATTTATGGGTTTGATGTTAGTAGTTTGTAAGTACTTTGGTATACATGTTTTAGATTGTCAGAGAATTGTAATTATGTTTATTGGGATTTTTCATAACTATTAATTTTGAATTAGTATGAATGTCTTGCACAGGTGTATTATTATTTACATTACATTTGTGTATATATTATGCACAGGAAAACAGGTGTTTTGGATTATTTTGAACAGGAAAATTATTAAAATCAAAATTTGTGTACTAAATTTTTAGTGACAGGTGGTATTTTGGTCGCTGTTAATGTATTTGGCGACAACATATTGTTTTTGTTGCTAAAAGTTAGTGGTTATTCCAAGAACTTTTAGCAACCAAAACTTACTCGTCGCTAAAAACGTGATTTTTAGCGACCAAATTAATTTTGTCGTTAAATAGTACTTTTGGCGACGCATTTATTTGTCGCTAAAACTACATAGCCTATCCAAATTTTAACCTTTTAGCAACAAATTGTAATTTTATAGCGACAAAATATATGATTTTTGGCGACCAATTTCTCTTGTCGCTAAATGTCTACATACGGTGACAATTTCTGATTTCGTCGCCAATACTTTTAGTGACAGGCCTTTGGCGACAAATTGTATATTTGTCGCCGATTCTTTTGGCGACGAAATTTGTATTTTTGGCGACCAATTTTTGGGTCGCCAAATGTGTTTTTTGTTGTAGTGAGGTTCAAACAGTTCAAAAAGGTTTTTAAAAAAAAAATTTGGCTTTACCGGTCGACCAACCGGTCGACCCACGGGATTTTGATGCACCGTTGGAGCAACTGATATCAAATTGAGAAAATGATTCATTTTTTACTCAAATTTGGTGAAAAAAGAAGTTCAGGGTTGGAGATGCTCTTATATCATCAAATAGCCTACTAGCATAAAATAATTTGAAAGTCAACAAAATCTAACACAACCAATATACCAAGCCTAAACTCAAACAAACCATCACCACAACCTCATAACGGGAGAGAAATAAGCAACAACCGCCACAAACCCAAATAAACCATCACCACAGCCCCATAATGGGAGAGAAACAACCACCACCATATAGGGTATCAAACTCTTCTTCATATGAGTTTAACTCGAGACCTCACACCACAAAGGGTGTTACACAATCATTAAGCCAAATGTCTTGGTTGACATTTTAGTTATTAAACTCAATGGAAAAAGAAAATTTTAAACATTTTATGTATACTTAAATTGAGTTTAATGACTAAATTATTTATTTGTTTTGTTATTTTACTAACGGAAACAATTGGATGGTTTAAATTGAGAACAAATCAAAAAATTAGTATTTAAATTGGCAAAATCAAATATATAGGGTTATTTTGTTATAAGAATCAAACTCTAAATTTTTTATTTTTTATTTTATAATTTTCTCAATTTTTTTTTTATGATGCATGAATTGTATGTGGAGAAAGAAAGGAGGTCTGTAAAATATTTCTTCATTCATAGAAATTAAATAAATCCATTAATTACGACTTGATTTGATGCCCGTTCATGAATTTAAATTACAAAAACAGTTGTGCAATGTTTTATATAAAATTATAGATGTGCACTAAAACTATCCTTAAAAATGAAAGGATGTTTTATTTCCAAATAATTCTATCTCTTTGTTTCAAATTACTTATAATAATTGAATTATACGAAAATTTCAAGATTTAAAAATTTCAAAAGATATCTATTAATTGTAAGTGATTTGAAATAAAAAAACAAAATTATTTGGAAATAAAAAATCTTGACTCATAAAAATAAAGTTTTTAGTTTAATTTGTCTTTTCTGTCTCTCGTGCGCTGAAATTGTCATAAAAACGATGCAATCTAGTATTCACGTAAATTACTAGTTGTCCCCAAATTGTCTTTTCTGTCTTTTCTTTATCGATTCGAATGGGCGGAAAGAAGAGATTTCAATGATAAGGAGTATCATCACCTCATATTTTTCAATGATATGGAGTATCACCACCTTATATTCATGTAAATTATTAGTTGGCCCCCATGTCACGGCATTGTTGGTTGTATTGTTTTAACACATTATTGTATGATAATGTTATATAGTTTGAAAACAATACTATATACATACTTCTCCTTTTGCATTGAGTTGATTGGTCTCAAAATAAAAAGAACTTTCTAGTTCGCTTTTGTACAACAAAATCATACTCAGGAACCATTGTTAGTCTAGTAAAAAAAATTATCATAACAATAATAGGAATAATATTAGGGATCATGAAATGTATTATGAAATTTTTTATCATTTGATTGATAATAAGTAATAAGTAATAATATAGATAGACAAAAAAAAAAAAAAAGCTTTTGTATAGACACCAAAGGATGAAGAGATATAGTTTTGCAGTATACACACACAAACCTTCCACGCTTGATAACTGCAACGATGGACTCCAAGCTTCTGTTCAACATGATAATGTCGGAGGAGCTCTCTTTTGCCGCCACCTTTGAATCACTGTCTCCGATCCAGAACGTGATGTCGGCTTCATTGAAAGCCTGGCTATCTCCAGCCCTCCGACCGGTGACAGCTATTACTTCGCCGGTAGTCTGCTGCCGCCTCTGGTACTGGATCAATCGAAGCTTGTCGGATGGAGAGGAATTAGTGAGTACCCGAATATCGCTGACACTCCTCCGGTGGCTCTCGTCGTTTTCCAGGATGTTTCGGATTTCGGAAGCTTCAACTATGGCTTTACTGATGTCGTCGTCTGTAGGGTTGACAACTCCACTGTTGATACCCATGAAAGTTGCAGTGTTTTTGTCCTGATTTAGTATCAGTGTGATGTTAACTCCGGCTTCTCGGCAAGTTTTGACAGCCGGTTTTAGGTCTTCCTCGTATGGATTCTTCAATGCCACGAAACCCAAAAATGTCATTTTTTGCCTTGTCAGTTTTGGGGGTTCTTGTTCTTTTTCTTTTTCTTCTTCATCGACAAGGTCTATTTCTTCTTGTTTTTTGAGTTTTGGGGATTCTTCTTCACCATCATCAACAACAAGGTCTTCTTCTTCTTCTTCTTCTTCTTCTTCTTCTTCTTCTTCTTCTTCTTCTTCTTCTTCTTCTATGAGTTTTGGGGGTTCATCATCATCATCATCATCATCATCTTCTCTTTTTCCTCCTTTTTCCACTAAAACTTGTGTGTAAGCCAAAGCAATGCAATGAACACAATCACTTGCAATTTGCTCACTGATTTTCTCCAAATTCATTCTTTGATTTTCATCTATGTAATTTTGTTGCCCGTCCACCGAGTAGAAGTGCGAGCACATGGGCAGCACGATTTTTGAATCGCCACTCCAATGCATGTGAATGATGTTTTTTTGATTGTCTCCATTCCTCCTCAACGATAAACCGTGACAATTCCCATCAATAGAGGCTTCTTCTTCATTGTGAAGAATTGTGAAACTTTGCACCAACTCCTCCATTTTAACGCCCAAGAACAGCTTTGCCCAACAAAGTAAAGGATCTTTGAAAGGACCAGACCTGGTGAGGTGGCCGACCCCTTCACGTAGAGTATCGAGGAGTTCATGAGTTAGCTCCGTTGTCGCCTCCTTGACAATCTTTTCACCAATCCAAAGATCCGCCTTACTTGTTTTGTTTAAGGCCAGATCAGCGGTTTCACAGGTGTAGATGGTGGTGACCAATCCTAATCCTGCAAAGGAGGGTAGGTTTGTAACGATGGCTTGATGATCAATCTTCAACTTTCTTTTTGAACACCGGAAATTAGTGAAAATCCCTAAATTCAAACCTTCTCTTACTCCCATCAACACTACTCCAAGGATAGCAATTAATCTACTAAAAATGCCGGTGTTTTTCTTAAAAACTATGGTGACATCATTTATTAGCTCCTCCATCGAAGTATTCATGATACTTTTAGTCTCTTCCAAGTTTCGTTTGATGCTAATTCCATTGTTGTTGGTCTTCTTCAAAAAATAGCATAGCAACTGCACTACAAGAAGAACCAAGGACAGGCCGAGCATGATCTTTTCCATGTTCGCGCTTAGCTTGTCCACATTAAACAACCACTGCGACTTGTTGTGGTTCATCATCTTGCTCCACCGGGAGTTTTTGCCTACCGATATCACAATCATTCGACAGTCCCCAACCGCCACTTCTGTGCCTGCATGGATTGCTGGGAATCGATTGTAATCCATACCAGTTGGATCTTCATTTTCAACATCATCGAGCATGAACGAAGAACTGCCCTTAAACAACCCATCAGCCGAAACCCTATCACCGGTCTTCAAGATCACAATTTCGCCAACCGTGACTTGGGAAGCGGGAATTTTTTGCGGATTCCCGTCTCTGATGACATCAACGACCTTCAAGTTGTTCTTGGCGATCGTCAACATTCTCCGATGGGCTCTTTCTTTGTAGAGCTTGACAATGAAACTGACCAACACAAGAATGAACATCATGGCTCCATCACACCACTCAGATTGGGTCCCATCCTTGAGCACGCCCAATAGAACTGAGAGGGTCGCACAGCACAAGAGTAGGATCGTGGTGGGCTCTTTGAAAGATTCGAAGGCGAGCTTGAAATAGGATTTTGCTTCAGATAGTTCTAGTTGATGATCACCATCTTCATCAAATAGGTTTGAACCAAATACTTCGTGACGGAGACGAAGATCTTGGTCATCCCCCTTTATACCCCTTTCAAGATGGCTTTCTAGGGCCGATCCAATCCCTTCAACGCCGCCGTACGGACCAAGAAAGTCAATGTTATTTGCATCAAGAATACAGTCGAGGGTTTTCGGGTTGATAGCAAAGTGGGCAAGGCTTTGATTCCGGAGAATCTCTGTTTGTTCTGGAGCTCCTCCAAGCTCAACATCAATGTAACGAGTTTGATGATGTAGTGGTTGCATTTTTTGGGAAGTGAGAAAGAGATGGGAAGATTGAGATTTTCCAGGAAAGAAAGAAGATAAAATCAAGGATGGTTAAAACGAAGTGAAGAAATGAGTTCAAATATATAGGCAACGGCTGCAAAACCGACCGTGAGATCTGGTTCACGGCACACTATGATCTGGTTCACTACACACATGCAGTCGGCCACAGAGCCTTTGTACTTAAAAAACTAGAGAGAGAAAATTAAAAATCTAGAGAGAGAGAAATTGAGAGACCCAAAAATTAAGAGAGAGAAAATTAAAGAGAGAGAGAGCAAGAGAGGCAGAGCGAGGATAACAGAGCTACTGCATAGGAATAGCCTTATCTAAGAATAGCGTCCTCTCATGCAGTCGACCACGGATCCTTTGTACTTAAATAATTTTGTTCTTTTGTCTCAATTTACTCCTTGTTTTGTTATTAGGTTCTATGATGATGTGAAAATTTTAAAATATATTTAATAACTGTGAATAATTTGTTATTAGGTTTTATGATGTGAAAATTTTAAGTTATTAAGTTATATGATGTGAAAATTTTAAAATATATTTAATAATTGTGAATAATTTGTTATTAGGTTTTATGATGTGAAAATTTTAAGCTATTAAGTTATATGATGTGAAAATTTTAAAATATATTTAATAATTGTGAATAATTTGTTATGAGGTTTTTTGATGTGAAAATTTTAAGTTATTAGGTTATATGATGTGAAAATTTTAAAATATATTTAATAATTGTGAATAATTTGTTATGAGGTTTTTTGATGTGAAAATTTTAAGTTATTAGGTTATATGATGTGAAAATTTTAAAATATATTTAATAATTGTGAATAATTTGTTATGAGGTTTTTTGATGTGAAAATTTTAAGTTATTAGGTTATATGATGTGAAAATTTTAAAATATATTTAATAATTGTGAATAATTTGTTATGAGGTTTTTTGATGTGAAAATTTTAAGTTATTAGGTTATATGATGTGAAAATTTTAAAATATATTTAATAATTGTGAATAATTTGTTATGAGGTTTTTTGATGTGAAAATTTTAAGTTATTAGGTTATATGATGTGAATTAGATAAATTAGCTATTATATATGTGATGTTTTACTAATATATGATAGTTTTTTTAAATTTTCAATAATGTGAAATATTAAATATTTTTAATGATGTGAAGTAAGATTTATATACACAAACCAAATAAAAATATTAAGAAATATAAACAAATAGCAAATTTTTTTTTATTAATTATTGACTTTCTAAAATCCTGTGCATCACACGGGTGACCACTAGTTATCTATAAAGAAAATGGTCTTTCTAATGACAAGGCTTGTGGGAGCTTTAAACCCTCAAACTAAATTTTATGATTTTTTAAATAATAAAAAACATTATATTGGCTAAACTTTTATTTAATCATAACAATAAAACTCTAATTATTTCACAAATTACGACTTTTAAAAAGAGAGTATGCTTAACTATTTCAAAATTTAAATTTGTATAGTACTATATATGGAAACAATTCACTAAAATCTAATTATTTTTTATTTTTAAAAAAGTCAATTGGTTAACTCTAATTTAACTATAACAACTTTTAAAAGGAAAATATACTCAATTATTTTAAAATTTAAATTTGTCTACCACTAATATGGAAGCAATTCACTAAAATTTAATTATAATAAAAAAAAACTCAAATTATTTCATAATTTATAATTTTTAAATATATATATATATATATATATTTCTATTTCAATATTTAAAATTACGTGTCATTAAATATAATACACAATTTAACAAAATCTAAAATTTATAAAAACTTTTCAAATGATAACGATGTCTATAATGTAACTAATATATAAACCTTTTTCGAAATTCATAATAATATTTCTTTCAAAATTCGACAGTATAAGCTTTTAAAATTATCGCTATCGGTACACCTTTTTTTTAATGTCTTAGAAATAGATAGCACGCGTTTTCTTCGTATAGAAATTGTAATCCAAACACGTCAACAACAATGTCTGATTTGACGTATAGAAATCGTAGTATAGAAATCGTAGTCCAAACAATAGAAACCGTAATCCAACGACAAGTCAACAACAATATGTCTGACAAATTGACAATAGAATCACCGCAAACAATTCAAGTTCGTTTTTATGGCTCTTGTTCTTATGCCTCGTTTGGGGAGTGATTATTTTAATCAAAAAGTTAAAAAGTCAATTAAAACTAATCACATCACTTCTCTATTTTTCTGTACATCTTTTTGTAAAAATTTAAAAAATTACTAAAATAATCTGTTTCTAAACGAGGCCTAAGACAATAGAATCACCACAAACAATTCAAGTTCGTTTTTATGGCACTTATTCTTATTTTTTAATATTGAGGCCAAGTTTGAAAAGTCTTAAAAAAATTAAAAAGTCAAAAAGTTACTTAAAAAGTTATCACTATTCATCAAAAGTCAACAATTATGGCTGCACAACTCCCAATTCTAATTTTTTTCTACAAACATTCATATTTTCAACATCAACTTTTTAATCTAAAAAGACAAAAAGTGCACTTATTTAGGACACCCTAAACAACCCCTGAATCCCTTGATTTGGGAGGAAACTACTGGTTTTTGATAAATTTTTAAAATAAAATTTTGCCCTTCTTCTTCCCGGTGTGGCTCCGTTAAAGCGGCGGAGTGAGTTCTGTGCCTACAGATGACTAGGGGTGGTAATGGAAGGCAATTGGGTGGTTATTAATTCTCCATCCTCATTCTTTTATAATTATTTTTTTCCATTTCTCATCCCCCCATGGGTACTACTCTCTCCATTCCCTAATGGGTTTGGATTTTTCCTAACCTAACTTGACCCTTTTTTTTTTTTTTCACAACCAAAGCTAAATATACATTTAATTTTTCTTTTGACTTAACAATAAAATCAAATACACATTAATTAATTAATTAATTAAGAAGTTCGTTTTAAGGTAATCCAATATATAATTTTAAGACAATCAAATAAGCTTTTAGTGATTAAAAAAAAACTAAAAATTGTATAATCATGAGTGTTTTCATTTGATGGCGCCACATCAGAACATTTTAAAAACAATAAAAGAAAAAAAACATCTTACAAGAATCAAATAAAAGAGAGATTTAATATTAGATGAAATTAATAATTTAAATGTGATTAGACTCAAATTTCTTACAAATTTTCAATCAAATTGTAATGGCATCAATATTTACAAAACACTAATTCAACTAAAAGCAAAAGAAATAAATAAATAACAAAAGTTAAAAGCAACAAAAATTCCAATTCAACAATGCACATTCTTTGACATTTCAACTCTAATTTCTTATAGCAGCAACACTCTAATAGCAGTAATAACAGTCCAACAATAGTAGCAACACTCCAACAACAACAGCATTCTATCAAGACTAATCTGTGCATAAGCCCTGTCAAGATCTATTTGCACCAATGTTTCACTGCTCTAATGTTCACTCTCTTGTGCTTTTGCCTGTATCTATCACACACACACACACACACAAAACAAGAAAGAGAAAGAAAAAGGAAAAGGAAAAGAAACCAGATTAATTACATATTGGTTAAAAGAATTACAAGTTACTGAGATTAATTATATGTTGATTTAGCGGAAGAAATGAATAACAGGAAGAAAACAAATTCACAAATAAGAATAAAATCAACGTACTAAAGGCATACCCAATGCAAAAGAAAGATCAACTCTGATTCACATCTATATCGTCATATATAGTGGCATAACCAATTGATTCGAATGTTGAATTCCTTGAAAAATAAGAAGAAAAATAATTAAGTATTGAGACTCTTCAATATATTTATTTTAAAAATAAATATATGTTGATTTATTTAAGTACCTTGCATCTCTACAAACCACAACCAACTTTGTGCACACATCAATGCTTCCAAAGTATCTTGATGAAGACTACTCTGATACGGGCTCACCAATCTACCGCTAGTGCTAAATGTAGAGTCAGAAGCAACAGTGACTATCGGAATAGCTAAAAAATCCTTAGCTATTGCTTGTAAAGTTGGATACTTCGATGCATTTGATGTCCACTAAGCCAACACATCAAAATTCAGGGTTCTTGTCACAACATCCTCTTCTAAATAATGGTCCAACTCTGATGTTGCATTGTTGACTTTTTTTCTTCGCTTATTACTAATAAACAAATCATAATCTGAAACTATCTCTGAATCTCCAAAATTTAAACTTGTAGAGGATTCAACATTAGCATCAATCCCCAAACTAAGTTTTTTTTTTATACTCTTGCAACAAATCATAACAAAGTTGGCGAATCTTCGCAATTTCCTCTTTAGCTGTATCTCCGTAAAGTTTATCAAAATAAAATTCTAACACACTAAGTTTGTACCTAGGATCAAGTACAACAACAACTCCTATATGACCATGTATAACAACCCAATATTTGTAAAACTTTCCTAACATTTTTGATGTCATTAATCTAACCACCTTAATTGAACAAGAGAGCCATTGAGAAATAGTTATCCTAATCTCACATAAATTTGGAAAAGCAACATTAGCTGTGGGATATTTAGTTCTAGAAAACAATTCAATTGCTTTATAAAATATTTTAAATCTCCCACAAATTTCTTTAGCAAACTCTCACTCCTCCTTACTTGGCAATGTTGTAAATTGGGTCTCTTTATATTTCAAACGGTAAAATACATCCATATATAACAAGGCAGTTTGAAGTATCAAATATGTTGAATTCCACCTAATTGCACAATCAAGTCCCATATTTTTAGTATTCAAAATTTTCACTTGACGAACTGTTCCTTTAAATTTCTCTACTCTTTTAGGAGTTGCTATCCAATAAGCTACACTATCCTGAATTTTCTTTACACCTGCTCTTATCACATCCAATCCATCTTTAACAATGAAATTGAGAATATGTGCGCAACAACGCATATAAAACAAAGTCTCACCCAAAAGAAGAGAACTACTATCTAATTTATCCAACAAAA